CTTATCATTTACACTTAACGCTCGACATTTCGGCACGTGCCGCTGCATTATTAACCGCAAAATGCTCATAAAGGATCAATTTGTGCGCACACGTGTCCAGGATAATGCACATAAATCAAAGCAACGGCTGCCAAATGGACAAAGAAGCTGACAGTCCGCGGATTCGGGATTCGGAATACGGTACTCGGGATTCAAAAGTCCACCCACTGCACTTCGGCCCAAGGATATGCAGTTTAGAGCGGCCCAAGGAAGCCATAAGAAATGCAAAGGACTGCCGGGCACGGGTGTGTGAAGCAGCGGAAGTAACCGAGATTTATGGCCTCAGAAGGGGACAGACAGCGGAGGTTACACCTCTCGGAAACCCATTCAATTTGCAGCCGAAAAGATAAATGGCCAAGATTTGTCACAGATTTGGTTAATTTTAATTTTGCTAATTTTATACCAAGCTAAAGCCCATTTAATTTATAAACGAAAAGATTAATTGCTTGTATTTGTCAAAGTTTTTTAAATCACTCTTGAACAATAAAAATGGTCAAATATATGATGGTATTTTTGGCCTAAACATTGAAAATTGGAATATTGAAATATTAGGATTACAATTTTTTGGACCATTTTTTTGTAACTTCGCCAAAATAATGGCCCAAATACTGATATTTTTTTATTGGAAAGTCAGGAAATATGGACTGTTTCAATAAAAGGTTTTTAAGCGTGTTTTAGTTGTGACTTTTACAAGTAAAACAAATTAAAAAACTTTATATTGCCATTAGTTTTATTTTCTTTATAAAATATTTGAAATGTATAAAGCATAGAGCTTACACCAATATTAAGCAAGAAATATAAGCATTTGCAGGGCCCTCGCCAAATAATTTGCATAACTACAGCCGGCGAAGGCATATAAATCTGCTATATGCTTTCTATTTAACTTTTACTAAAGACTTCCGACACATTTCTGCGCCGGCCAATTTGCCAGGCGATTCCCCGGATAGCCTGCCCTCCCCTCACTCCCCGGATCGCCAGTTCTGGCCGGATTCCCTGGCCTGCAGCCGCTTTCAACACCTACACACCAGTGGCTCCCAGGCCCAGTTGCATTTCGATGGCGTGACTGGCCCCCATTTGGGCCAAAAGCCCGGGAAAGTGGCCCAGAGTGGACGGCCCGATTGTCTGAGGCCCTCGGGGCTTGTAACTTATCTAAATGCACACAATTATTGAATATAATCGCCGACAGAAGAGGCGAACGCCAAGGGAGCGAAAACAAACACGTGAAATTTTTACAAGCCGCCTTTTAGGCGTTTCTGCGCTTCACAAAATGGGATACAACTACAAATAGACGATGGCAGAATGCCCTGATCTAGAAAAATTAGTCAAGACTTGTAAAAGACATGATCAGAAAATCTAGATGACAATAAGTATTTTTTAAAATTGTGTTAAACATTATATATAAAATAACTTATAACTTATAAAACTAACAAATAATATATATAAGAATGTAAAATAAATTAGTAGAGCTTCACCATGGCTAAGGAAATGCAAATTATTTGAAATATTATAAAAGTAAATCTACTTTTTCAGAAAACGACAGGCAAATTTGTTTTACTAAGACACGATGACAGGCCGATTTAAATGGCAAAAAAAAACGGAATTAAAATTCTCGCTTTACAGAATTATGCCAACAAAGCGATTGGAGCAGCGCAGAGAATAACAAACATTTTGCAATTATCGGGCAAATATTTATTTAAGCGCAATTATCTGAACACGAGTTGAAAAAAAAATAACGACAGATAAAACAGGGTAAAAATCAAATGAAAAACCCAACTTGCTGGCAATTAAGCGCAATTTCCGTTCCCTGTCAAATGATTATTTAAAATGCAATCTATATATATGAATCGGGTGGGCGAGGGTAAATAGTTAATGCAGCGATGGCAAAATGTGACAAATTATACAGAACGGAGATTAACCCCCCGAACCATTTGTTACAAGAATCGGGATCGGAAAAAATCAGAATTAAATTAAATAGGCAGCAAAAAACAAGCCACTTGTTAATGGCATATGTCCAGAGTCACTCGCACAGAAATCAACAAAAAGCGTAATACAAACGAGAATGAAAATACAAATAAAAATAAAAAATAAGAGAAACGAAAGGTAAAAAAGCGGAGTGCAAATTAAATGCAAACAAAGTTGATTTCCCATTCCTGCGAGCATAAACTTTTAATTTCGTTTTCCCTTTTATTTGTAAATTACACATTTCGCTGAACGAAAATTGCAGGTTAAAAGTGCAGGTGAGTGGGTGGTGAGTGGGCGGTGAGTGGGTGGTGAATTGGGGAAAATCCGCGAATCGTGGGCGTTCTTCCGGTCCGCTCGTCCAGCCCCCGCTTTCTGCCTTGTGTTTATCCTGCGAATTTCGAGTTTTCAAGGGAAATAAGGTTGAGTGGAGCGAGGTATGTGTGGCTAAATAGTTATTAAAAAAATCAATATAACAATCGGGTGAAATGTAATGCCTTTTTTTGGAAATTTAAGAAAAATATTTACCTTACTTTTGGTTTTATTAACCAAACAGTTTAATATAAAGTTATCAAGATGTTAAAACTTAACTTTTGTTTATAGATTAGTTATAGCATAAACTAGTTCAACAACATACAATTTTACTATTAATAATAACAGTTTATAAATATTGTGTATTTATGATTTTTAATGTATTTATTATTCTGATTGACTTGCCTGGTGAAGTTTGGAAAACAAAATCCAATTGAAATATATTTCTGAAGAACCAAGCTATTAAATAAAAATAATAAACATTTTATGACTTTTATTGTTCCATATCGAGTATCCGTGATATCTCCGTCTTTTTGATTTATCCACCCTGATCTGCTGATTGGTTGCTTAAGCGAATTGTGGTGGCTGCAGATGTGCAGAGAATGTTGATGTGGATATGGATGATGCTGGTCCACCCACAAAAATGTGCGGCTAATTGGATGTCTATATGCGAGGATGGCGGCCATGTGTGGCAGGTACTTTGACAGTCGGCGCCTGATTTCCATGCAAATTGGTTACAGCACAGTAAGCAGGCAATATTTCTGCTTCATTTCATAAATGCGTCCGGGGTCGACTGCTCCGGTCCTCCAGTCTTCCAGTACTCAATTCCCCAATGGCTGCCTCTTTCCAGCTCTTTGGATTCGATGAGTTTGCATATCAAACGCCTGATGATGTGTCTTTAATTTATACATGAATCCGCAGCCAATTTCGTGTTTTCTTACCAAGTTTATAAACGGGTAGCTGGCGAACTAAAAAGATGGGGAAGCCATATATATTTAGGAAATTACATCCTGGCAGTCGCTCTTTAGTACAAAACAATTAAATCATTATTTTTGGCTTACAATTAATTAGCACTTTCTGATAAACATAATACAAATAAAAACATTATATATTACTGAACATAATATAGTAAAAATCAAATCAAAATTCAAAATTTATATTACAATTTTTATACAAACTTGAATTTGTACTTTGATAAACGGGGAGCTTAGCATATTTAACCTCTCTTATTTTTATACAAATTAATGTTTTTTATAAAAACTAGAGAGTTTTCCAAGACTTTCTCTAGCCACTTTTCTAGTACCTCTGCAAAATAAATGGTATGTGTATTTATATTGCTGGCCATAATTAGCACACATCTGAATAAACTGAAACTGAAACAGCGGTCGTGTTTAATTGAGTGGGACGGCGATAGCGGAGTGAAAGAGATACAACGAGCGGTACGTGCAGTTTCTGTTCTCTGTTTTGTGTAATTTGTCTTTAATGAACGGTTGCCCGCTGGCCAGCGCCGTGTTGTTGTCATTTCATTGTCCTACCAAGCGTCGCTTTTGTTTAAGGCCAACAGCAATTTGAACATTGCGGCCAATTTGTCGATGAATGCGCAAAAACACAAGAAACTCGAGACTTCGGGCCGAAAACTCAGAACACGCGTGCTGCCAACAAAAAGTGCAGCGCGGGAGAGTTCTGAACTGGGGTAGGAATATTGTGTACACTGTGATATTAAAAACAACACGTTAAAAATTAAAAAGAAACATCGACAGCTTAACCTTTTTGTAAATAAATTAATTTAAAAACTGCCATTTAAATATATATGTAGGTACATTTTTAATGCTGATCTAAAAACATGAATCAAACCCTTTTATTATTTGATATAAAATTCATAATTCTTCTCATTTAGCTAACAAATGTTTTTTTAAACTTTTCTAAAACTGTTAAAAAGTGTTAATTACAATTAATTCAGGAATTATTTCAGCTTAATTATAATTTTGTATATGTGTAAAATAAGGGAATTTTTCTACCTTAAAATACTTGAAATCTTTGTATTTCTCAAACATTGTACTTGTTCTGTTTAGAATACAACAATTTGTAAACTTCGTACATGTTTTCAGATAATGCAATACGTATAAAATTGCCTGACGCTTAGACTCCCTCGAAGGGCCATCTAGAATTTTTGCACCTCGAAGTACCCCTAATCCTTGGGTTCCGATTCCGATTGCGATTGCCCTTCTGCTTTCCCCGATCTGTTTGGTCAGCTGGCCGGGTACTTATGTTTTGGTCCTTCGACGGTCTTCAAGGATCGTTTGCTGGACTTTCGCCTGCAGCGCCGCTTGCATGCGAGCACGCAATGCCGAACATGGCCTAAGCCCAAACCCCCCTTGGAAACGGCGCCCCTGCTTTCGGCCAACTGGTGGCCAACGGTGGCAGTTATTCAATATATCAACTTTTGGCCTAATAAATGCACTAATTGCGGTTAAATGCATTTTGCATGCAATTATTATCATTAGGGGTTGGCTCGCACGTCGTCGTATATGCCACACACCCCTCCCCTGCCACCACTCACATCGTTTGTAAATTGTTTCTGTTGGTCATTATTTTAATTGCCCTGGGACACCCGCCCGTGGAAGCCAATATAACGATTGCTCTATTTTCGTAGTATTATTTTTATTTAGACAAAAAAATATGCGGTTAAATATACTTTACATTTTACAGTTACAACGTTTATAGATCTAGGCTAAAAAAAAAAATCCCTTTTATTCGATAATACATTTCGTGGTTAGGCTTAACTATACAAAATTCTTTTGCTTTTTTGGCTGCTAGTTTTTACAACATTTAAATAAATATATGTTTAATTATATTCCATTATCATCGTATATTAAAAAAAAAAGACTTGTAAAAACATTTTGAATAAGTTACTAAAGCAAATCAAATAAATTAAGCAAGCACACGCACACACCGAGATACACAGAGATATGATTATATACACACGCAGGCACACATAGACAAGCGGGGCTTATGCGCAAGCTCAAAAACGCGAATTCTTGGGAATTCTATTACTGTTTTCATTGACTTTTTAAGGGTTTCGTTTTAAATACTGAACATTTTTGTGCTACTTTTTATGACCTAACATATTACAACTGTTACAAGTTTTGTGTTGCTTTTAGGTCTAAAGTTCCTTTATGTTTCGAAATATATTTAAATTTAATTTAAATAAAATATTTTTTGTACTTAAGTTTGAACCATAATAAGGATGATGATATGATTTTTAATAAATGCAAATTGCGATCAATTTAATTTTACTTAAATGCAGGTTAAAATAAAAAATCATTTAATCCCTGTTATTTTGTTGTAGTAACGTAATTACTATTTTAAAATAATTAAAAACACTTGATCGTACAAAATATGATATGTGGATGAATGTTTAAAATCAAAATCATCTGACTATTTTTTTTGAAAAAAGTTACAAAAAAAAAAAAAATATAATATAATATCCCTTTGAAAATCACGCTTTTGAGACCGCATAAGCCCAATGATAGACACACGTACACCCCCTCCTTCGCACCGCTCCACCGCTCTATCGCTCACACCTGTATCTGGTCCTCGTCGTCCGACTGCGAACAGCTGTCGACGGACCGCCCGGGCGGACTGCCCGGATTGAGCGTCGGACTGGGCGTCGACGGCGGCCTTGGTGGTGGCGAGGCGGAGGCGGGGGCGGAGTGGGGCTTGGCCAGACCGCTCGGTGGCGATCCTCCGCCCGCTGAAGTCGGCGCTGGCGGCACTGGATTTGCTGCGGCGGCGGCGGCAGCGGCACTCTGATAGTAACTGCTCAGCGAGGACAGCGAACTAGAGGCGGACAGATGGGAGAAGGGCGCCGGACCCACGCCTACTCCAACGCCCACGCCCACGGACGGTACACCGGCGTAGAGATTGTAGGGCAACGGCTTCTGCATGGCGGCGGCGGCGGCCGCTTGGCGGTAATAGATGTCGATGCTCGTGTGGGGCGTGGCCCCGTGGGCGGCGGCGGCAGCGGCGCCCGCTCCAGCGGCGGCCGCATACGGCCAGGCGCCCAAGTACGGCGATCCGCCGTAGAGCCGCTGGAAGGCCGCAAAGTTGCCGGCCTCCGCCAGAAGTTCCAGACCGACGGCCGTTTGGCGCTTCCATTTGGTTCTGCAAAGGCGCACCAAAATAAGTAAGTTTTAAGGTGATGCTTTAAATAATATTCATTTATATTTAAGGAATCTGACTATTAAAGTTTCAACAAACATTCGTAGAATTTTGTCAATTGTTTTAAAGTCTTATGAATTAATGTTCTTAAAAATGTACTAATTCGTGAAATATTGTAAATAGCTAGTTTATTTATGAGCTGCAGAATTATCTCTGCATCTATAAAACATTTAACAACACTTCCATATATGTACAGTTTAACCTGGAGTTTAATTTAATCCTTAATTTGCAAAGAATGAGTCCCATAATATAAGAATATAAATATAAGTAATCCAATAAATCTTTGAATTTGTTAAATTGCCTTTGCAAACTGTATAACTAATTGACTTATATGTTGCTTTATAGTGCTACAATTTCTTGACACCCACCTGCGGTTTTGGTACCAAGTTTTCACCTGGCAGTCGCTCAAGTCCAGCTTGTGGGCCAGCTCCTGTCGCTCCTGGACGCTGAGGTACTTCTGCCGCTCGAAGGACTTCTCCAAGGTCTGCAGCTGGTGGTCCGTGAAAGCGGTACGCGCCTTCCGCTGCTTCTTGCTCAGGCCGCTTATGTCGCTGGTAGAACCGCTCTTGACACTATTCCCATCGTCGTCCTTGCCGCCTAAAATAAAAGAGATGGGGATTGGTCTTTAGAAAAGTTCCATATAATTTTTAATTCTTCAAAATCTATAAACTCTAGAAAATTATAGTTCTACTTAAATTTGACTTTGACTCCCAAGGACTAAGTTCAACTAAGTATATCGAAATTTTATTCACTAGGAAAATAAATACTTTATTCCTTAGAAATAAGACAATATTATATTTTTTTCTCAGTGATAATGTTTAATAAGCTTATAAATTGTTAGCAGTTTTCACGGCAATGTGATTTTACATTCTTAAAAAGTTATTTATCATTTAACTGTTTTTAAAAGTAACTTATTTTTGCTCAACCTTTAATGGTGATTTGGCATAGACCAACGACTTAAGTTCGGGTTATTCGATTCAGATCTCTGGGCGATCTATTAAAACAGTTGCAGCTACAGTTAGAGGCTCGTTTATGGCCACGCAATTGCCGCTTCCGCTCACAAAGCGGTTCGTGTGTGTAAGTGTAATAAAAACGTGTAGCAAAATGTCTAAACTTGCCTCAAAAAGGCGCAAGAGAGATAGCTGGGCCAAGCCAAGTTCACCCCTTTTTGCGAGAAGTGTTCTTAACCGCCGCTTTTCCACCTTTTCTGGCCAGCCATTTAGTACATAAAATTTATGTAAATTCAACCGATTGTGGTTACCCGATAAGCGAGAGCGAGTTTTTGGGCCACGGTCAAAACAGGGGGTTACCAAGGGGGTTAGGTAAACTCTCAAGCGTTAAATTATTTAAAGCGAAAATTTGCCAAGTGCCGCATTTAAATTTGGTCAGCAGAGTGGAGGTGAATGGGCTTAGGAAAAAAAGGGGAAACAGCGAATTATTTACTTGTGTAAATACAATTCAAAAGCATTTAAGTATTTAAAAACACACACACATATTTAAAATAATTTTAAATAGATCAGTTTACTGATAGAATATTATTAATATCTTGTTTTCTGTTTATCCCCCCCAACAAATTAAACGTCTTTGTAGAATTTGGTAATAAATTTGTTTAGTATTGTACTTTGAGATATGAACTACATAAAATAATACAATGTTAATTATTTCAATTAATCATCGCTAATCAAGAGTTTATAACGCCGCCAAGGCGAAAGTTGTTTACCATATACAACGAAAACGATAAATGATTAATGGCAGCGATAAATGAGCGATAATGCCGCAATTGAATAAAATTAATTTTCAATTAAAGGAAATTACTCACGAATGTTGGCGCCGACTTTGTGAATTATCGATTTGTGGAACAATTTTCAAAAGGGCAATGCCAAAAATTTATAAATTTTTGAAAAAATGTTCATTCAAAATTTGACAAGTAAAAGTTTAAAAATAACATAGAATGTTTTCAAATTGATATATAAATATATATACAAATCGATTTATTTATGCAACTTTAGTTGAAGTTCATTTGTAGGTTCTTAAATAAACTACTATTGATCGATAATCGTTTTCTGTTTCTGTTTTTGATTTTGTTTTTGTAATCGAAGTTCATGGCAATTGCGAAATTCCGATGAACTGACGGATTGCCGCCTTCCCTGCCCGCTGGTCAATCGGCAGCCCACTTTGCTGGCTGTCATCCCAAAGGAGCAGGCCGACGCGACTACCGTTTATAAAATTGCAATTGGCAACAGGAAATTGCCGCAATAAATGGCACAAAACAGGGGGCCGCTGCGATGGAGAGCAGCAAAAACCTGGCCAAAAGCGGAGATGTATAAGCGAACCGAGTGGCGATGAGATGGGATGAGCAAACAGACTGCAACATTTAGCTTTTGTTTTTGTGTTGCTGTGCTGTGCTGCTGCCATTGCCATGGGGCGTCTATTAAAGGGGGTTAAATGCATTTTTATAACAATTTCCACAATTAAATGATTGCTGTGGGGCGGCGGTGGGGGGCAGGTGCGTGAGATAACTGGAGGGAAAGAGAGGCAAGGAGTGGCAGAGGGGGAGGGGAAAAGAGTGAGATGTGTGTAATTATTTGAGATTTTTTGCTGCGACTGTGGCGGTTTTTAAACTGCATTTTGTTGCTGTTTGCTGCAGTTCAGGCTGCTCTTCCTCTGCCCGCCCCTCCCGGCAGGCCACGCCCCCCCATTTCTGCCATAATAACTCGCAGATCCGCAGGTGCATGCCCCCAAGTTGTGGGAGGGGCAAGGGCGGGGGAAGGGGGGCAGCTTTAGAAGCTTCGCAATGACGCAAACAAAGCGTGAAAATGCAATTTTTTACAACTAAAACCACAACAAATAGAAGCAACAAGAACGAGAATGTAAAATGGTCATGCAATAATTTTTACAGTTTGTTTTGCAAAGCGACATCGACGAGGGCCGCTCCTCCTGCCTCCCCCGCCCTTTTTTCCCCACTTTCAGGCGCACGCTCCAAAAACAAAAGACTTAGGCAACGAACTTGACTGCAGCACAACGGACTTACTTCATTTTTGACTTAATTGAATTAGATTTTTAATTGGCTATGGAGAAATGTATTTAGCAACATAAATATAAATTTAATACGAATTTAGATGGAATTGCATTACTAACTGAATCTTTAAAAATAATTTTGAGCCTTCGTTTGATGATCAAAGTACTTACAAATATTTTAAAATGAAAAAATATTTGAGAAAGTTTCAAAAATATAAGTTGAGTTAAGTTGAATTAAGTTTCTCAATTAAAAAAAATAAAGCAGACTTTTTTGATGACCGTTCTTAATTTTATGATCATAAGTTAAAGTTGTTTTATTTTTAGAGTCCATTTTGTAACTGTTATTTGTATTTATTTTAAGTTTTCAAGAAGAACCCTCACACACTTTCTGCAAGTATATAATTTCAATACCTTTGATTAGGTGAACCCTTTGCCAAATGTTTTTGATATTTCTTATTTCATAATTAGTCTTGAAACTTAAGCTTGACAACTCTGCTTTGGTTGTTTGATGGGGAACTCAGCACTAACTATAAATAAGAGCATAATAACTAGGAAAAAATAATGTCTTATAAATTTTATACAAAAATTGTGGTTATCATGGAACAGAAGTTGACTGGTTAAAGTTTTTTTATATAATTTGATCAATTTTCCCTTTTTCCTATTTCTGATAATAAGTTCCAAATTGGGAAATATGCAGAAGTGTACTGTAGTACTTTAATATGAAAAATTCCTTGATTGCTTGGATTTTTGTTTTTGAAATGATTGAGAGGGGTACCCTGACCGCCTGACCCCTACTTCCCCCGCCCCGCCCTCATAGTACAGAGGCTCACCTCACCATTGCTACAAACGCTGTGATCGTCCATGTGGCCGCTGCCTCCCCCGCCGCCTCCCGCGCTGCCCGCCTCGTCGCTGTCGCAGTCCTCGTTCTCCTCGTGGTAGTCGCTGCTGTCGTCCAAATCCTGTCCCAGTCCGCCCGCCGGTGGCGCCACTGCCACACCACCACCGGCACCCACGCCGGGCAGCGGTGCCACTGCAGCAGCGGCCGCGGCAGCAGCAGCTGCAGCGGCGGCTGCTGCATTATTTCGCGCTGCAGCGGCGGCCGCAGCAGCCGCATAGTGTTGCTGCATGGCCGCCGCATATTGGGCCACGTTTAACCCATTGCCGCCAGCGGTGGGCGGAAAATGGCCCAGCTTGCCATGCGGATGCATCAGCGGATGCGAATGCGGATGCGGATGTGGGTGGGGATGGGGATGGCCTTGCGGATGCGCATGCGGATGCGGCTGTGGGTGGTGTAGGTGGGCAGGTGGCAGAGCAGTCGTTGGTGGCTCAAAGTTTTCGCCATTATTGATGTTATTATTGTTGTTGCTGTGAGCGGGACTGCTGCCACCACTGGATCCCGAATTGTTGTTATTGTTGCTGTGGTGGTGCAGTTGCTGCTGCTGGTGGTGCTGCTGTTGCTGCTGCTTGTAGAAAGCGGCCGCTGCACTGCCCGCCAGAATGTCGTTGATCATGAAGCGGGATCGATTGGGCTTCAGGCCCGATGCCGTGGTGGTGCTGCCGCCGGAGGACATGTTGGCTGTTATACCACTAATGCTGACCACCGCCGGTGGCTGCAGGCCGTAATGTTGCGGCAGCGTGTGTGAGTGGTGGTGGTGGTGGTGGTGGTGCAGCTGCGGATGATGCACTGCGTTCGGCTCGCTGGGCGTTTGGGTGAGTATGCTCATCGAGTCTTTCATAGCCAGCCCAAAGAGGCGTTTTGTTGGATTTTTCTTTCTTTTTCGTGGATTTCTCTTGTGTTTTTCTTTTTTTAATTCTATTTAACACTTCACTAAAAAAATTCACGTTCACTGGAGTTTCATATTTTGGCAATTTTGAAGTTCTCAAGTTTTCTGCTCAATTTTCACCCAGCGACGTCGTGAGCGGCTTGGCTGCCAAAACGAGACTGAGCGTTTATGAAACGCACCTGCCCGACCCGCCGCTGCCTCTGCCAACGTCGACTGCGGCAGCGGCAGAGGCGGCATCAGTGGTGGTGGCAACAATTTTGCCACTTTGTCATAGGCTTTGGTATGGCCCCCTTCACTTCAGTGGGCCAGAAAGGGATGGTCGGATGCGCCCATTCGCCGCCTCTCGCTCTCCCCTGTTGCCATCTCATCGGGCCTCTCGCTTCGACACAGCGCCATGTTGCCGACGGTGTGGTGAATCCACCACGATGTGTGGTGGAAAACCGTCTCTGCGCGGTTTTTATAGCAACACCAAATGTCGGTCAAATGGCTATGGGTGTATGCTCTTTGGCCCTTCGCTTCGGGTTCTTTGGGTTCTGTGGAGCCTTAAGTGTGGTCCAAAATGGCGCTATTGAGAAATTGATGGATCTGTAGGGTGGAGGTGGGGTTTCGTAATATAAAAAAATTACAAATAATAAACTGTTTGGTAAAAATATAGGGCCGCCCAAAACAGCTAAGTCCTTAAAATGTATCAGCAATTAATAACATAGTTTGTATAAATAGTAAAAAATGAAATAAAAAACCATTGAACTGCATTAAAATTAAATAACCGTTTAAATGAAATTGTTATTTATAATTTAATTACTATAAAAGCAACAATTTATTTTAATTTTTGTCTCAACATATGGAATTTAATTTTTGCCTACCACATATCAGTTCTTATAATTTAAGTACTTTTATTTCTCGTGATACTTATTTCTAATTTTGAATTATTTTTCAAAATAATTTTGCTGGCTCGTCTAACAACAAAATTTAATACAAAATTTATTTAACACCATGCCTTAAAGTCATTTAATCATTTTTTTATTTTATCTAAAATAAAATAAAACATTTACCATGTCTAAAGGCTTTTTAATCATTTTCCTAAATTATGTGCTATATATATTGTTACTTCAGCGAACAAGTGTGGGATTTCTCTTTGAAAGAAAAAGAAAGAATAGTTGAACACCCCGACAAATGACCATCCCCTTTCTTCGATTCCACGCTCCCAGACAACAAGATGGCAATTAAAATTTCACGCCAATAGCCCGTCTTTTGGTCTTCGTTGGCCACATGTTAACCAAGGACTAATTGCAGGAAGAGAAGCGGAGCGGAGTGGAGTGGGATGAACAAATGCAATTTGTCGAGAGCGGCGGTTTCCGTTTGATTGATATTGATTCCGGTCGGAGAACACGGAGAACAGGGAGAACACGGGGAAAAGGTCAGGTGACCTGCGAAGGTCATTAGTGTCGGGAAAAGGGGAAATTAGGGCGATGGAAGCGCGCGCTTCAATTGCGGAGCGCATTAAAATAATTAGCGTCTGCTGGAGCATCAAATGCGAGGAAAAGTCATCCGAGTCCTTCGTCCTGATGACGGTTATTGCACTTAAATGCATATAATTGCCAGCCCAGTCGCATATCCTGCGGTCTGCGGTCGATTCGAGTTCGAACTGCCAATGCCAATTGAATGCTTAAAATAATTGCACTCCAGCAGCAATGTCAGCACTGTGAAAAAAATATATAACTAAGAAATTGAAATTATGTTTGTATGTAAAAAGAGTTTACTTGATATTTAAGAAATCAAAAATTTAAATTTTTTTAAATAAGTTTTTAATATATTCATTAAAAATATCTTGAGGAAACAAATTAATTGATAAAGATAAATTAATATGAATGAAAATATGAGAGAAAATATTCTAGATACATTTATAAAGAAACTTTAAATGTATATGAAGGGAAATATGCTAGACAACAATAGTAGCAGAAACTTACTATTTTAAATCAGAAGAAAAATTAATTTGTATTTTATTGTTGTGTAAATTAATTTTACAAATATATTAACTGTAGTTCTATATGTGAAAAATTCCAAATATTTTAAAAACAATATCAGAAGAAAAAATAATATTTTTTAAAATTTCCCTTTTTTTTCCAGTAGAGCTGCTAGAAATTATGAAAAAGAAATGTACGAATGCAGAAACCGCAATGCGCAGTTGTCCCAATGCCACACCCCCTTTTCCCCTCGATTACTGGACAGTTGCCAGCGAACTTGGACAGTTGGCAGCGTTTTTCCGGTCTCTTCTACGAACTGCTTAACAGTTGTCCATGTGCAACCTTCTATTTCTCGAATATCTATCTATCTATCTATCTGCGTATCTCTCCATCTGACGATCGCTTTAATTGGCCTAATGTCCACTCACTGAGTACCTCTGTTTGCACTGCAAACATCCGCAGGGGGTTTCTCCATCTTAGAGATTAAATACAAGTATATTTACTTCCACATACCGAAGGTTGAAAGAGAGAGGCGTCTCAAAAATTATGATTAGAGCTTAAAAATGCCTATGCTATCGATGGTCAATGACAGGTTTGGATACTTTATTTAAATTTAGTAGTAAGAACTCTATGTTTTGTTAACAAAACTCTTTAAGATTATTTTAGGCCAGCTCTAATTTGGATTTAAAATTTCAAAAATGGCTATCAGACAAATTATAAGATTCCTAACCATTAAAGGAATATTAACTTTGGCAATTATATAAAAGAATTCATTTTTTAACTTGTCAAATAAATATGTAAAATCAAAGGGGTCATTTTCCGGTTGTAATATATGCTTCCCCCATCTGTCAAACGCAAAAAAAAAAAAAAAACAGCAACCCACATGCACTGGGGCTCAACTCCTGTCCAAGCTGATCCCAGAGTCCGTCCATTTCCATTTCCATTTGTGATCTGTTTCCGTGGACCAACAGCCAACAGCCAACGAGCAACATTGCGGGGCCTGTGGAATCTTAATCGGCATCTTTGATATTATAATGTTCGTGTTACTGCGTGGACAAACGTAATAAAATAACTGATCGTTGTCGCTGATAAGTTAATTTACTTTTAATGTGCTGCCCTCGCCGAACCCTCGAGATCCAGCCACAGCCTGCAACGTGGGGGTAAATGGGTCCGGAGGTGACAAAGGTTCTCGCTGGACCGGGCCTCGAGTATCGAGATATAGCCCCGAAACAAGGCCTCGGCACCAAGATCGCGGCTCTGACTTGCCCGGTTTATTTCTTTTTATTCCCCGATACCCTTTGCACAAGGGGTCATTTAAATTGGAGCAGAAGATTTCGAATGTTCCTTCAACTTTTTATACACAACTTAAAAACACTACCTATTTTAGAATATATATATATTTAAATGGCTGACAACAACCTTACCACATTTCTTATTTTAATATTTAATTATTAGCTTGTAGTTTTAATATTAATATTTTATTTCACACTTTTATTTTCATTACAGTTGTGTTCTATATAAATATCTATATAAATATATATAAATGCTAGGAAACTTTAATAAATAATATTTTTCCAATATATATAAGGTCCTTCTTCCATTTAATATTTTGAACCATACCAAAAAAAGGGTATTTAAATCGTGGTTTTGCTACATTTCCACTTCTTTTTAGTTTGTTTACCTTGTTTTATTTGGTTCTTGTTTTTGTTGGTCGCGTGTGCCGTCGATGGCCAACGTTGTTGCCAACTGATTTGTCAACAACGTGGCCAACAAAGGTGTTCTCCTGCCCCCTTAACCCTTTAACCGCCTGCCGCCCGGCGATTTATCGCTGCTCCAGATCAGTCAGCATGCCAGCTACAATAGCAACAACTGCAGGATAAACATAAGCCCTGATTCCAATTTCGTTGCTCCCACCCCCCTCTCAATTTTTCGAGGCGGCGCTCGTTTTAAAAAATTGATGTCGCCTGGGTCCCCCACTAAATGGATGCTATTTAAATTTTTACTGCCTGCGGGCACCTATAAATCCATTGGAGGTTTTCGTTGTGGATCCTTTGATTCGCTGGAGGAGTGGGCTCCCATTCCGAATCCGAATCCGACTTCGATCGGTCCTCCCCCTTTTGGCACCTGCCCGGACTCGGGGCTTATTCACTTTTTATGGCTCAGCTTAGTCCGGTCGACTAATCAACACCTCGCTGAGATTTTGCTTTGATTTTATTTGATATCTTAATGTGGACGAAAAAGGTAATCCTTCTTAAGGAAGATGACTTTAAAAAAAATTCCTCATAGAATCTGTGAGTTTCTGAAGACATTTCTAAGTAAAAAAAAATTGCCTAAACAAATTTAAATTTCATATTAATACAAAAATTATTACTTGGTTCTAATATTAAATTTTAAGCCAAATATCAATTCGAAGCTAAAAGTCCTGTAATTTATAACTTGATATCTATATTTATAAATTCATAATTTAGTTTCCAATACCTTAAATTTTTTGAATGTAATTTAATTAAAGCAAATATTTCTTAATATATGTATAATTGATTTTCATCAGTAATATTTATAATTACAATAATCATATTATCATTATTGTACTGCGCTCGTGCCAAAACAGAAATGCCCCAGCTTCACACTCCTGTGTATCTTTGATATTTTGTGTGTCCAATTTGTAGATAAACTAATGGTCCTCTCGCATATTTCCCTTATCTGCGGATGGGCCTCTTAATTAGGAGAGCAAGTTGGCTAAACGACGGACCGGGCGACATTTGCCACATTTGCATTGGCCATAAAAATATGCTTAAAGCATTTCCAAATGCAACCACTTAAATGTCTGATGGCTCTAAGCTGGCGACGAAGTGAAAATGTATTTTATGACTCAATTTGGTGCACATAAAACGAACCACGGAAAAAAAACGAAGAAAGAAGGGGGATTTTTTTGTGGCCCAAGCCATACAAAGTGCAACATTGTCTGGGGGGAACGATAACGTTATTACGATCTTGAAGGTGTGATCAGTAGCGATGTGCTCGTGATCAGAAAGTGTTGCTATCCGGAACGATTTTCAATAAAAAAAAAATAAGAAAAATGTCTTCAAAATATTTTTGCCTTAACATTCATACACATATACAAATATTTTAAAATTACTTAAAAATAAAAAGGATACGAATATGAATATCTTAAAATA